TAGATCTCATCTGGCTGAAAGCCACAGCTTCAGAACCACATCTGGAGGAGGATGTCAGTATATGCTGCACGTTTCCTGACAAAGGCTTGGGATACCAGTTTTTATTTTTAGTACTATTTTCATTTCTTCATGTAATGAGTTCAGTGTTTCAGGCAGCCCTGGAGGAGCAGGAAGGACATGTCCTGTAATAAAACTAATTAATTCATGTGGAATTTCTAGCCATTATTGTGAAAGTGGCCAAATTCCTCACTCCTGAAAAGCTGCCAAAATAGCCATTAATCTGGCTGTGGTCATAAGCAGGATTCCTGTGGCCTCCTGCAACACTCGACCAGCCCCCAGGACAGGGAATGTAGAAACTGAAGCGGATGTTGTGATTTCCTCACCCCAACTCCAACAGCCCCAGCTTTGCTAAATGGGACCATTGCCTTAAAGGGCTCAATGCCAAATTCCTCCCAGTGCCCCCAGACCAGACATGCCTCAGTCATGTACACAAAGGTCAAGCCCTCAGACCTCAAAATCAAGCAATTCAGCATCATTCAAAGCTCTGCAGACCAAGCTTTTCCACCTGCCCAGCCTTGATCACACTCTCAGTGAGAGGTGTCCTGAAGGGAACAGGAATCTGTTCTGAACACATTGGAAACTGTATTCCCACCACCCCACTGGGTCTGTTAGGAGGGTGAACTTTTCAAGTCCCATCTGCTATCAGTGGGAAGCCAGGCTCCTCCACAGAGAAATTTCAGGCAAGAATCCCATCAACCAAAATCCCCCAATAATGCTCAAGAATTAATGGAATCTGTCTTGCTCCCTGTGAGCTGGAGGTGACAGGGTCTGTGGGGTCTGGCATGGAAAATAAACATGGAATAAACTTATTTCAGTCACTACTGTCAACTACAACAACAAAATGACTCAGAATATCTACAAGGTGCCAATCTATTGTGTCAGAAGGCTGTAGTTGCCACAGTCTCCTTTTGCTCCAAAAAATTCTGAACTGCTCTTTAAATTCAGTGACGGGTTAGGGGGTCAGGATCAAAATAGCACCTCTGGTGCTATCCCACCATCCAGTCCAAGGAGTGGCCACTCTCTTCAACACCACAAGGAAATCCAAATGTTCTGCAACAAATGTCCTGTTTAACAGACTAGCTGGATTTCTAACACTTTAAATAAAATTCTCCTCAAACCACCTCTGCACAAGACATGGAGGGATCACTGTTTACAATGGGTAATAGAAAAGGTCCCCTACCATGGCTACCCATTGCTTTAGGCCTCCTCATCCCAGTTACCATCATGGCAGATGATTTACCTGTCCAATCACACCACTGTTAGGTCAAGGTGGGCAGCTGTGATTTCCCTGCTGTTGCATCGCTCTGGTTTGTATGAAGTTCAGATGAAGGGTAACTGCCCTCTGCACATCAGAGATTGTATCAAACTCACAGTCCTTGGCTAGTGGTAAATACTGTGCAAGAAAGAGAAGGCTCTTGGAGCTCAATAGTGTAGATAGACAAGAAGGTTCTACCACATGACTGTTCTTGTCCAGTCTGACTGAGAGCTACCTGGTCAGAGCCTGGATTAGACCCTGGAGCAGTGCTGAAACTCCTATAGCTTTATCACGCAGCATTTTTTCTCACTAATTCAGCTGCAAACCTAGAAGAGTAAAGCTGATACCATGTGGAGGGTGAATTGCAGCACCCCTGACAAGTGCCCCCAAAACAAGACATGAACCAGCTGGGTAACTGGAATTTGCCTTTAGCAAAGGGACTGCAGGGTGAGTGAGGAGGACCAAGAGGAAGAGAAAACCACCACCGAAAGTCCCAGAGTTGTTGGGTTACCCTCACTGCAAACAGAAATGTCACTGTGGCCAGCTACCCTGACCCTATAACCCACACAGCCAACTGCTCTGGTGGCCAAGATCCAGAGGACAGAAACCAGGTACCTCAGGGAGCACCCAAGCAACCTTGGTTCATCTCCCAGCTGGCAATCTGGACTGTCCACTACCTCATGAGCTCTACATAGATGGGGCCAATGGGGCACAGCCCCACCACCAGCCTTGGGCTCCAATAGCACAGGAGGTCAAGAGCCCCAAGCCAGTCACCCTTCCTGCTCCTCCTCCTTGCTAAATGTAAGTTTCCTTCCCTGTTTCTGCTTGCTTTTGAAGTGACAGATGAAATGGCAGCAGAATGGAGCAGAATGGAAGGAGAGACGAATGTTTCCACATGGATCATGTGGGAGGGCCATCACTGCTCAGGGTGTAAACTGCGTACCTCACTCTCACTCAGCTCACTGCTGAGCCACAGCCTCCATGCTGTGGGAAAACCCTTCCAAATTCAAACAGAAAATCACCCCCAGATGAAAAAAAGTTCAAATTCTGGCCAGGATTTTCCCTACTCCCTTCAGAGTAAAATCTGGGTCTTCTGAAGTGCAGGACACTAGAAAACAGGCCACATTGGAAGACACACACTTGCTCTTTGAAGATGCTTGGAGGACACTTAACACAACCAAAATGCCTTCAGCAACTCACTTGATCCACCAGTCCCCCCAAAGCCTGAACAAGAAACATTCGTGGGACATGGACATCAGGTGCCCACTCTTTCCTAGTTTTAAGACAGCAAGGGGAAACCCATCAGCATGGACTGGGTCTTTAAGTACTAAACAGAAGAGCTGAGATCATGCTGCCTCCACTGAAGTCTAAAAAACAAGTGGAGAAATCTTGCTGTGGTCTTGAGTAGAAATACTGGGTATTGCTTAAGGAATTTTCCCTGCACTGTAGGACTATGGATCTTTCCAACAGAAGATGTCATGCAAGTAATTGCAACAGCATTTCCCTGGTGTCAGTATGCTGCATCAGCTGGCTACAAAGACGAGGTGCAAGAAGGCACAGAAACTCTCCCCAGAAATTGCCTTCAGCCAGCAAGGCAGTGAAGACGATATTAATTTCAATGGCAGAGCATTGAAAATCCCTTCATCCCACCTGAGCTGTTCTATCTGCAGAAAATTGTAAGGAAAAGCACAGATTTCAACACGGTCCAATTCCCACCAGCGCTTTGTGTCACTCTCAATTACAGCCCAGAATGAAATACCAAGAAATCGTTCCTCGCGGCTGGCAGAATTAATGGGATCTTTGACTACAGAGAGCACCAGGCAGTGAACTTGCTCCCTTACCAGCCAAGAGGCACAGTGCAGCTTTCTTCAGAATAAAAGCTGCAATGTCAAAAGATAGATTAAGGCTTATAAAAGTGACCTGATGTTTTTCCGTACTCCAGTCCACAAGAAAGGCATGTGATTACTGACCCTTTCCTTTCTAAAATAATTTATATCATAAGACGAGACAGCAGGAGATTTTCATCTTCCTACTCATACCTAGCCAAATTACATATGGGCAAAACACTAAATACACCACCATTCTGCAGCTGCAACAGTGGAACCCAAGCTGTCATATGCTGAGCTGCCTTAAAGCTCTAGGAACTGTACTCTAACCCCCGTTCCTCCAGCCTTCAGCCAGGACAACCACAGCACAGAATCATGGAATGAGTTGTGTTGGAAGGGACCTCAAAGATCACCCACTTCCAACACCTAGCCATGGACAGGGTTGCCAACCACTGGATCAGGTTGCCCAGAGCCCCATCCAACCTGGCCTCGAGCACCTCCTGAGATGGCACATCTGTCACATTTGCTTGTAATGAGATGCCCGCTTGCATGTTTAATGAGCTCTTACTTGGCCAACCAGTGAAAGTATCCTGGCCATCAAAGGTGGGCAGAGATGTGCTTCAGCCACAGATTTGGTCTGCTGAAGGTAGTCTGTGGTAGAATAATCGTCACAGAATCATTTAAGTTGGAAGGGACTCTTAAAGGTTATCTGGTCCAACTCCCCTGCAACAAACAGGGACACCTACAGCTCCATCAGGTGCTCAGAGCCCCTCCAGCCTTGAGTCTCTCCAGAGACGGGGCATCCACCACATATCTGGGCAACCTGTTCCAATGCCTCAGAATCCTTATTGCAAAAAAACTTTCTCCTTATATCCAGACAGCATCTTCCCTAACTGGTAACACTGGGAACACTTACAGAGCCAGAGGTGCAATCTCCTTTTTTGGCTGGTGTAAAACAAGTGGCGCTACATTCACAAAACAGCACCTGAAGTTGTCGTTCTGTTCTCCAGCACTGTAACTCCTCACTTCAGCACGGCTGTGGGGCAGCACTGGGAGAGGGCACACAGACTTCAAACACACTGCATCCAGCCCCAGGTGTGTGCTGAGGACAAACACACCTCGCTGGCAGGAGCAAACAGCTAGCCATGACATGATGGAAAGCAGAGCCTGATGATTTCAATATGTGCCGCTACACACATGCTGATCTGGTCAGCACCTTCCCATGGAGGAGGGGGGAATACCTGGAAACTCAGCACACCGCTGAGCTCAGCCCTTGTAGAACAGAAATGCTTTAAAAGCATATTCACATTTTACCTTGCCCTTCATCTTACTCTGCCAGCCTCAAGCAAAAGAACTACCCCAAAGAATCCACCAAGTCCCATTCTCCCAAACCCAACCATGTCTGTGGGAACAATGGCAGCAGCCCATCGGTGGGATGCATCAGCTCCTGTGAATACTGCAGCCAGGTCTTGCCCAGGGCCAAACACAAACACACCTCTTGCATTCCAGTTTTCACTGCTTTGCCTCTTGAATTGTTTATCTCGGCTCAATTCCTGGATGTGGATAAAACAAACGACATGGACTTTCTCACAGACAGCGCTCCTCGTTGTTCCCCTGACAAATACCACACTCAGCGAGCATGAGCCTGAAACCCAGAGGAAAGGAAACAACTGCAAAGGGCAAGAAGGAAACAGATCATTTGCCAAGGGACAGCATGAAAACACATTTCTCCTTTGGGCCAGAGCCTTGAAATCTTCCCAGACTCCCCATTCCTTCCAGCCCATGTTCACAACACTGTAAGCCCTATCACAGCACACTGAAGGAAGCATCATTTTCAAGAAGCTGTTGTTATTTATTACCTTCATATCTAAAGATGGCAACCAGCCCAGGACCCAGTCGGTTTCATCCTTGACCAGACACAGCTGATGCGGGAGACCTTGGAAACCTGGTCCATCTACTGGCAGAATCCCAGAGGCAACAAGGATGGAGGAGCTGTATGCTTTCTCATTCACGTACCATCCTTGGAGCTCTTCTTAATTGCATTTCACTTGTAATAACTTCTCCCACAATCCAGAGCTCTGCAGCCCTTCAGTTCAGCCGGAGCAGCAATATCAACACAGTGCCATGGACTGGCTCTTTGCAGCTGGCTTCTCCGATGTCTCACAATACGCAAGCCTGCATAAGCCAAGCTGGATGCCCAGCTACAGCTCTGGTAATGAGTTTCTCCCATGCCTGTGCACTTCTGACTCGAAAGCTAACTGGTGCAGAGCATGTGAGATGCTCATATCCAGGCTCTCCCCTGCCCGCTGCCTACACCTTTCTGACCTTTAAGGCTACGTCAGGGCATCTGGCGGGGTCAGGAGCTTTGGAGGCGGAAGGGCAGATACACATGTGAACATGCAGAGCATGACAAATGCTTTGTTTCCGTAGAAAAGCTGGGGGAAAGAAGAGGTCTTCCTGGCAATTCAGTGGATGTGAAAAATGCAGTCATAGCATTACTGGCATGATTTTCGAGTTGCTGTTAAAATTCCACTTACATTTTGCTACCTCCAACATCAGAGTCTTCTGTGTTTTGGAGCAATACATTAAACTGTCTTTTAGCAGCTGCCTGCCAAGGGGGAAATGGAGGTTTTGACATCTGACCCATGAGGAAGGATGTGTGGCATTTGGGGCCAAATCCCAAATAGGGATTTTAACTGGATGTTAGAGCAAACTGCTTTGCTAATGGTTAACTATTTTGGTGCTGTTTTTGTTCCATGGGAGTCCCTAGTCCCTGGTCAATGGGGCAGCCCCAGCCCTGCAAGCTCAAGTTTGCCTGCACCTTAATCCTTTAATCCTAGGATATCATCTCCATTAGGAGCAAAGAGCAATGATGCACTGGCACAGGCTGCCCAGGGAGGTGGTGAAGTCATCATCTCTGGAAGTCTTCAGGAACTGTGGAGATATGGCACTGAGCAACATGGTTAGCAGGCACAGTAGGGATGGGATGGAGTTGGACTAGATGACCATAGAGGTCTTTTCCAACCTTAATGATCCTGCTCAGTTCTAAAATGGCCACTGGGGACCGGGACACAGCATGCCAGCAAGCAGGGTGCTAGGATACTGTACAGGCAGTCCTCGCTCTGCTCCAAGTGCCCGACCTGTTAATCCACCTTAATTTAGCATGGTGTGCAGAGCTCTGTGCCGTGCTGAAGGAATGAATTCACTCAGGGCTGGCATAAGAGCTCCGCACACAGTAAGAGCCCTCTGTCCCGCATGCGGGCAGCTTCACTCAGCACTGTGTCAAGTTGGTGATGCGATGACCTGAAATAAACCATAAAACCATGCGGTCCAGTGGCATCGGAACTATTTTGGAGGCCCCGGTCCCCGGAGGTGCTGAGCCTCCCTCTCGCTGCCTCCATCCACAGGAGTTCATGCCCTTGGCTCCCCGAGGGGGTGGAGGTTCTCAGCCCGATTTCCACAGACTGCCGCTGTTTTGTTCCAACATTCCCAACATCTTCAAAATACCCAAAGCTTCTTGTGCAATGAGCAACATCCCCTGCTTCCTAGCTACGTGGTGGTTTATGTTACTTTCCGCCTACAACCATTTCAGGATTGGCTTTACAGACCTAAGTGGAAGACTAAACAATGCCGGAGCCACAGTGGGAGGATTTGCAGAGTTTTAGTCCTTGTTTCGTTTGGGCAATCCTTCTGCATCTCATCAGGGACAAAAAAACTTGCCAACCTCTTAATTTAGGAATAGCACGAGCTCTGCATTCCAGCCCTGAATCAGCCAAAGGAGCCTTTTCAAGCTGGAAAGGGGAAAAAGGGCAAATACCTTTAAGCACATTTAAAAAAAAAAAAAAAAAAAGGCAGACACCTGCCTTTTGCAGGCAAAAACCTGCTCTGGGGCACTGAGACAAGCTTGACATCAGCATTTGAAAGGGAATTCCAATCCCTGTGCTCTGGGTGCCAGACTGCTCTCCTTGTCACCGCTTTGAAGCAAAGGCAAACTCTCCCCGTGTACATTCTGCAGATGGGAGCAGCGCTGTGAGCCTGAGCAGAACAGCACCGAGCGGAGCTGGCAGATGGGGGCTTTGTTTTTGTTGTGGGTTTTATTTAATAGCTACAACAACCTGTTAAAAGTTTTGTAATCCGAAGAGAGCAAACCCTTTTCTGGATGTCCAGGCTCGGCTGCCAAGATGTGCTCAGTGGAGAATATTCCAGCTGCGTGCTTCACATCACGCTGCTTCAAGATGTGCCAGTGTTTTTATTATTCATCCCCTATGGACATTGCAGAACGCCACATACATTAAAGCACTCTTAAGCTGCGCTATTTGTATGTGAGTGAGTGAGCGTTGCATATATGCAGAGATATGGGCAAATCAGTCACACGCGTTGTAAAGGCACAGGGAGAGTAAAATGAAGCAAAAATGCAATTCTAGCAGGAAAAAAAAAAAAAAAAAAAAAGGCCATAAAAGCAAAAAACTGGCATTAATTCCGAAAATCATCTCTTAATACACCACTGCTGTATTCTCCATTCCACCCCAGCTTCTTCTAAAAGCATAAAGCTGGAGTCAGCACCAGATTCCTTCAATCTGGATGCCCTCGGCTTCTTCTAGAAGAGTGCAAAATTCACTCCGTAGATGCTCACATGGTGCAGCTGAGCAGCGGTGCACAGCCCCATTAGGCAAAGGAGGGGCAGGAGTGAGGGAGTGGGGATGGTTGCAGCGTGGCCGCACAGAAGCAGCACCGAGCAAAGTTTTCTATGCCGCTGTTTTTTCTCTCTCCCTCTCTCTGCCTCTCCCTCGCTCAGAGTGAGCCGAGGTGTTCGCTAAGCAAAGCAATGGCATCCCCGTGAGAGCTGCCTCGCGCAGTCAGCGCAGCAACAGGTCGGGAGCCTGTGGAGTCCCTTCGGGCGGCGTGCTCGATGATGCTGCAGTCCTCCTCGGCACCCGCTGCACGGAGGCAGAGGGGCCCCAGTCCCAGAGTGGGCTCTGCTGGGAGTTGGGCATGGCTCCCACATCGTGGCCCCGCAGCCGCCCACTTTCCACCAGGCAGCACATGGTGCTCGTATGCCGCCTCCGCCCGTATCTTCGGGGCATCCGCCACCCTACATGCTGTTTCCAGTTCCCCACCAAGCCCAAAGTGCCCCTTAGGCCCCCCAGCCCGGCGCAGTCCCCACCCCCAGCCGCATGTCCCCTCAGTCTGCCCCGGGAGACTTCTCCTGCGGAGGACCCCAACCTCCACCCGGTCCTCCCGCAGCCCGGCTCCCCTCGCCTTCGGACAGGGAGCTGCCCTCAACAAATCCCATTATACCCCACCTCTGTGGATCCCGTACAAAAGGAAAACTCCCCCAGGGAAAGCTGCAACCCCGAGCAACCTCTTCACCCCACCGCGGACACCCATCCTCCCCTCACTCCCACCCTATCCTACCCCCTTTGTCCGCTCCCCCCTCAGGCATCCCCCGTCCCCTGCCCTCCCGAGGGGTCCCCTCTCTCCCCGGCTCCCGGCCGTCGCTCACCTGCGGAGCGCTCGGCGCTGGCTCCATACTCGGCCGTGTCGCGGCGGCGGGCGCAGGTGCCCTGTCCCTGCACCAAGGCTTGCAGGGGCAGCTCGGCTCCGGGGTCGGGGTAGCAGCGCAAACCGGCGGCGCAGCGCGGGGTGTACACGCCGCAAGCTTCGGCCTCTAGGCGGGCGCACACCGGACAGCAGCCGCAACCCGGTTCCCGCACCAGCTCGGGGCAGGGCG